AATAGAGTTGATATCTTTAGCTAGAACATTTCAATTCTAAAGCCTGACAGTCTTTAGATGAGACCGGGTGCATTCTAGGTGGTATGGCCATAGATGCGTGGGTTCTTCAGTGATAGATTTTGTCAGTTTCTTTTTTTCACTCTAAGAATGAGCCATTTTAAAAATGCTTACAATTTTATTGCTGTTGAGAACCGGACATTTTTAGTTATATAGTGTGGTAACTCTGGAAATCAGATTTTCTCAGGGACTGTTTTTGTTGTAGTGGTCTTTTTAATGGTAAATCTGCCGAACTAATTTTGTAAAATCTGCCTTGTATGTGGTCTTTTACAATTCACTATCCATCATCCCCAAAGGTCACTGTCCTGTGACCTGACAGAGGTTCCTACTAATGCCAAAGTTCAGTAGCATCTCCTTTCACCAAACACTCCCTTGGTATCTGTGTCTGATCAGGTTCCCAAGTTCTGAAGTGGTTGATTCAGGTCATTTTTTTTCCCTTTCAGCTTAGCTATGGTTTTAGCAGAGGGACCAAATTCCAACCTTGGAACTCCTTCCTCTATCATCTTCAATGAAGACACCTGGCAGCAGTTAGTGTTTAGTTAGTGTCAGCACTCTCTGCGTGCTATGGCTGGATTATGTTTTGAGCTGTGTTTTAAATAGTGGCACCTCCTGGCCTTTCCATCTGTAAGTTATATAACACCATGCCAAGTCCCGGAGAGTCTAAGAATCTTACAAGTGCTTACTTCCATTTCTCCACTTAATGGTTTTAAGCTATGGATGTCAATTACTTGTAAATTCCACAAAATACTGTCTATTTTTTAGTCATTTAACTTTTATGTATATTTCACTGCTAAGAAAAAATCATATATATTTACCCAAATACTTACCTCCTCATTCATGTGTATAGATGGAGATCTTCAACTGAAGGAATTCTTTAACATTTCTTATACCGCAGGTTAGTTGTTTAATTCTTCTAGCTTTTATATCAGTAAAACTGTTCATTTTGCACTTAATTTTCTAGATAACTCAGCTACTGAAGAATTGCAATTTGAAATAATTTTTTTTCTCTCAGCACCTTAAAGATATTGCTCCCTTAATCTCCTTGCTTGTATTATTTTTCTCAGTTCTATCTCTTCAACTTAGAATATCTGCCAGGACCTGTCTGAACTAGCCCTGCTGGAACTACTGACATCTGTAAAATGAGGTAATTATAGGGTTTATCTCATTTGACCCTCATTTATCAGGGATCAGCATCTTCTAGGTAGAGAGACAGACAGAAAGACAGATAGACAACAGAGATAGATACCTACATAGATGCACAAATGGACTGACAGACATACAGATAGGGGAGGGTAGGAGGATAAATCTGGCCTCATTAGTCCACTTTGGAAACAGAATTTTTTTCTAGAATGTTTCTGCTTTACTGGGGACCTTTTTTACTCCCTATCTGACCTAACAGCCAGTTCTCTGCTCCTATTTTGAATAGCTAATGTAACTATAGTTATGGACAGTATTCACATCCATATCTACCAGACACAGAAGGATAAAAACAAATGAATTCTATTTCATTTTATTCTATACATTTCCACACAATTCACAATACAGAAAGTGTCCAAAAAGTAACTGTAATTAGTCAATTTCTTTTTCAGAGGTTAGTTCGGTCTCCCAAATGAGTTCCATCGAAAATCTCTATAGAGCAACACAGTGATCAAGATTCTTTGTATAAATAGGAAATGCAAGAAAATTAGGGAAAAATACTTTATGACTTTGTTATAAAAAACTCCATTCTTCTCTTTCCCATCCAACCTTTTTCACCCACCCTCCTTCCACTTCATATTATCTGGATCCCACTTTACTTGGAAATAAAATTTCCTTTCTCTACTGTCATGGCTGCTACTGTTTTGGAGAGTCCACCTGCCAGCTGGCAGCTTTGCAAAAGCATATGGCTCTGGGATGTGATAGGGCAGATTCAGAATCAGGAAAAAGCCCTTTGTAATGGGACTGCAACTCTCCTTATAGATGTGGGCTTTGCAAGTGGCTTGTATACAGCCAACTGTACTCTGGATGTCTAGGAGATTTTTCCCACCCAGAAAGTAAGTATATCATTCTGATGGAACTGAGATTTCCCTGCAGTCCTCACAGAAACAGGTTTTCTCATTTTCAATCAGCTCTGGAGCATATAACATATTCACGGTTGCCTGAACAACCACTGGCAATTAAAAAAAAAAAAAAAAAGGCCAAACTAACATTTATAGAGGCTAACTTGAAGCCCTACTTCTCAATGATGCTTTGCAGAATATTCTACTGCATTAGAATATTTTGACTGTAAAAGTTCTGTCTCATTTGTCAGGACAGTGATAACCTCCATTTCTCCAACCCATAATCAGGATGTTATCAGGCATCCAAGTTCTACTTGCATTGGAAATGATGCGTGCCTGTGGTTAGTACCTCAATCCAACCATGGAGGGGTGGAGACAGGGGTAAATGAAAAGTGTTATTGTTAATTAAACCCAAAAAGCCAGGAACCATTTGGATTCATACACAAGGAGCAAAAAGTATCAAGGTTGTAAGGCATCTCAGACATTGATAAGTTTCAGCAATGTGTTTCTGTGAATTACTTATAAAATCTGAAATGAAAAGTAAACTGACTTAGGGCTATTATCTGTGTAGTTTTAAAAATTTTTGTTGCTGTTCTTGTCTTTTATAAGACCAATTGCAAACATCTCATGTCTATTTCTGTCATTTTTTTTAAATGTTGTATTTATACTCCAAAATAACAAAGTCTCCATCTCTGGATTTTAAATAAGAAAATATATTTAGAGTTGTGGGGAAACTGCTTATATTGTCTTTATTCTTCTCAAATTTTATCTCGGTTCAGCGCAAGTTTATGGATGGGTCTATCTTGCTCTGAGTTGTTGGGGAAACTCTCAAAACACAGCTCAGTCCTTGAGAAGCCTTGTTAGAAAGTTCCTCCATTCACTGATTCTGTTCCCTGTAGTTCCACACAAAATCTAATATTTTCTAAATTGCACAAGTTAAAAAATGTTCAACTAATATTCTTAAAAGCCACACTCAGTAGCTTTTATTGCTTTCTATGAGTTTGATTTTCATGGGAATCAATGTTTACTTAGGATATACATTATTTGTAAGTTGGCCTGTGAAACTGTGTTAACACCGAAGTGATATTATGGTATTTATCTTTAGAATATTTTCTCTTTCCCCCATAGCTCCTTTTGTTTCCTAAGCTAGAAGTAAGAAATGATGTGATGGAGAAGGAGAAGCGAAGTGGGGGATGTTCTCTGAGTAGGACTCGTGAGATGGAACCGTTTCTTACATACCTGGAGCGACTTCTGCATCCATTCAACTAAAAATCTAGGAGTGAGGATAATCAATTAAAACTGTAATACTCTTACAAAGAAATTGGTGCAAATGTCACCCCAGCAATATGAACCTAAACCTTTTTTAATGATTAAAAGATACAGAAAGTGTCTGCCTGCCTCTTTATTACGAGAACATAGAGGAATCCTCAGTCTCATCTTTTGGTCTCAATCAAAATTTCAGTCCCCAGTAAGTGGGCACTAAGTAAAGAAAGGAACACTAGATGCCTTGTTTTCACCTTACTAAATTTTTGACATTTTTGCCTCAGTAGAAACATGCCTTTTTCAGATTTGAGGATTTGCTAGCAATTGGCAAAATGTGTATGTGTGCGTGCATGTGTGTGTGTGCGTGTGTGCATATATGTGCGTGTGCATGTGTATGTGTGCATGTGTGTGTATATATATATGTGTGCGTGTGTGTGTGTGTGTGTGCGCACACAAGTGTAGCTTTTGTATAAACAAAGCAAATTTTAAGATCATGATCCCTGCTTCTAAATAATCCAGGATAGATTTTCAATGACTGTTTCTATAAAATGATTTCATTGCCATATGTTTGGCAGGAACCTAGGAGCAAAAGGGATCTGAATTGAAAAGCATAGAAATAAGCCCAGGGATATTACAGAATGTTTTTAGTCCAAAATCCTTCACAATTAAGGATTTGCTTTTGCATGTTCCCTGAGTTAGATGCTCAATATTTATTTAAATACTAGAAAAAAAGCAGCTGGGCATGGTGGCGCATGCCTGTAATCCCAGCACTTGGGAGGGTAAGGCAGGAGAATCGCATATATTTATATGTGTGTGTGTGTGTTTATATATATTGTGTGTATATATATTTTTATG